AAAAAGACCTCACTTTCCACTCTGCACCAACAGGCTCTTCAACTGCTGTCTATCCCTCGCATCGGTGACCGCAAACGCAACCAAGTAACTCCCCAACTGATTCCTCAATATCTCGCCCCACCTATTCGCATCCTTCGCTTTGACATGCAACCCAAGCGGTCCAAGAGGTTTATCCCCCGCCCAACGCATCGTCTGGATCTTCTCCAACACCTGCTTGATTCCCTTCCCATACGGGACCAGCGCATCCTTGGCCTGATGCTCTGCAGACTTGATCGTACTCTCGCACTCCCCAAGCTGTCTCTGGATTGCAGCCTTCTGCTGTTCGAGTTCCCCGCCATGGGCTTTGATCTTGTCGGCTGCGAGACCTTCGTTCTTGCGCTCCATGATGATATTTTGGTGCTCATTCTCCAGACGGGCGACGTCGTCCTTGGCGATCCCGAGCTTACGCTGGGTCTCGTCGCGCCTGGCCTGGGTGTTCACGGCCATACGGCGGGTTTCCTCTGCGATTTGGTTCTCCAATTCCGTGATCCTGTAATTAATCGCTTTGATGGATGCATTCATTTGGTTGAGTTCGTTCTACAAAGCTGTCAGACGAATATAGGATATTGAAAGAACGCAGACGTACGGTGAAATCCATAATCTTCTTTTTGTTCTCGCGCATTTCAGCTGCAAGATCGTTCTTTCGATTGTTCAGGTGTGCGACACCTTCCAGGCTGGTGAATTGTAACTCAAATTCCGTGATTTTTGCGCTAGCCTCCTCGAAATCAGCCTGGTGAAAAAGGTATGGCCTCCATTATTATCGCACGAATTAGAGATGATGGAAGCCGTGTACCTGAGCTAGCTGGATGCTCTCTTCGATCTTGGGTAACCTACGCGCCAGCTTGGCGGCCTCCTGCACCTTCTTGTCGAGCTGGAGCTGCTTGCCAGCGACATGTGCCCAGGCAAGCTCCTTCTTCAGGTCGTCGACTTTCTTCTTCTGTTCTCGGGCTTTGGCGGCTTCCTCATAGCGAGCCGTTACCTCACGAAGTCTTGCGCGGAGGTCAGGAAGAGCTTCCTTTTTCACGGAGAGCAGCTTGGCGGTCTTCGTGATGTTTTCGAGAGCCAGCTCATATTCTTCCGAAAGCTGGGAAAGTTGGGTACCCCGAAGGAAGAACTGTATCGAGAATGGAGGTGAACCAACAGGATCTAGAAGAAATGGAGATTCACACACAAACCTTGTATTTGTCTTGCGGCACCGATGCGCTCAAGAACTGCCGGGCGGCATCTGCGAAAGGAGATCAGCCCTCGTTGATCATCACGGATGAGAAGAACCGGACCTTGAGTCAAGACGTTCATTGGATTATCGACCTGGATATTCATGTGGTCACAGATAGCCCCCAATTCATCCTTCTTGGTGCTGATGACCTTGTCGTCCTGGCTCTTGATTTTCCAAGTGGACGATCCATCCTTGGTGAACCGACGGGTGATATGAATAGACTTTCCATATTCTTTCGGTTTATAGGCTTCTTCGCCCTGATTCTTGAGATGGATGGTCACTTCAGCAACGCTGTAATTTAAACGCCGAAATCAAAAGAAAGTCAAAAACAAGAAAATGAGTAAGATTACCTTTGGCCTTCACGGATGAATGATTTGAGACCACTTCCACGGCCCGTCGACGCGGCTTTACCGCCTAGAGCGACAGTAATTGCGGACAAAACTGCGCTTTTTCCACCTAAAGGTTAAAATGTGGATCGGTCAGTAGCCTACAATCGAGACATATTCGGTGCGTACTTCCGTTGTGGCCTGAAAAAAAAAAGGTTAGTACTTGGATGAAAAGCCAGCAACTCAAGGTTCCGCACCGATGATGAAGTTGATCTGAGGGCCAAAATGAAACTTGAGCAACTTGTGGCACATGAACTGCGTCATTTCAATATATTCAATGACACCGTGCTCTGCGACACCCTATTCAAGATGATTAGCTTCGTCGCTGAACAAATAAAATGGATCGCGTACACCCTGTGTCCTACGCCGATTCTCGAGAACAGCGCGTAATTTCTCTCCATGGACCTTCTCAAAGTCGTCCAAATCTTCTTCGCCCTCGTCTTCATTCCCATCTTGGCCATCCTCCTCATCGGAGTCTACGTCTCTTCCTTTGCCTTTTCTCTCGCGTTTGGGACGCGTCTGAGTCTGGGGGATCTCTTCTTCGGATTGCTCTTCATCGCTATCTTTGGTCTTGGCGCGCTTTGAGGACGCGCCTGAGATCTGCTCGTCGTCGTCGTATTGTCGCTTTGGCATCTTAGATAGCGCTGGTAAAATGGTTAACCTTAAAGTCACAAAAAAGGAGTCAACACGCGGTGGGTTGACGCGCCAGCAAGCATGGACAAATAAAGACGCGCCCGTCACGGTCACACCTCCTTTGTTCACGCCGACGACGACGATGTCGGTAATTCCCAACGTTACCCATATACACTATACCGCTTATGCAGACCCTGTCATACGTCCTGCATCCCCAGCATCCTCCGTTGGGACAGCCTACGGACCCGACCAGACATCCTTCAGCGACCTTGAGGAGCAAATACCGCAGCAATCGTTCGAACGGAAGTGGGAAGAACTGATAGGTCTCCACCATCCCAGGAAGGAAGAGCTCGTGGCAGACCGGGACCCGCTGTTATCCGTCCCAGGACCAAACGGACAGCTAATCCCTATCCGAGAAAAGAAACTCGACCCACTCGAAGAGAAAAGTTCGTTAGACAATGTTCTGTCTCTTCTTTATTTATTCTAAATTATATATATAAAGTGCTTTACGACCGAGTCATGGCTTCTTTGCGGTCCGCAGTGTCAAACATCAAAGAGCAATTCATATATGATCAAATCCTCGAACGAGGTTCCATGGCCGCGATCGAGGAGCTGGGAGAATCGAACGATATCGATGCTCTTATGCGCAGTATGATGGGACCGAGCATGAATATAAACGCGGAGAACAACGGACGCAGACCTGGCACCGCCGTCAGCGCACCTGCGATGACCAACGGGCCTTGGAATAACTTTGGCCAGCCATCTGAATCTGAACGAATAGCGAAACTACTACCGACGAACGACGTTGCTCTCAGCGGGACAACTGTAGGCAAACGAAGCAGAAATGGCACAAGTCGGAATCCCCCAAATGCTTGACGCTTACAGGAACATGTCTCTCGGAAACTTCATAAGGACACTGTAACCGCCTTTCGCCGGCTTCCTTCGTGGGTTATTATTACTTTCACGCTACCCCTACTCCTACCCCTACTCACATCTGCCATTTTTCAGCAGCGATGTGATCGCAACCAATGCCCGCCGCGGTTCAGCGCCAAGGTTTGCTGGACAGAGCAACGCAACTACTTACAAGCATTCTGCAAGTTGTCCTAGGCTCGTACTTGTCGCTAAAGTTGTTCAGCCCTAGTGGTTCGTACATAACACAGACTTTACATGTATACCTTGAATTGTCTAGAGAAGGAGCAATTATAATTATAGATTACATATCACGCAACATCTTCAAAGAACCTCATCAAATTCTCTTGATTATCCTTGGACATTCGTATCGTTGCCTCCAAGGCCGCACTAACGCAATCCGACCACACAAACTCGAGTCGCAGGTCGGAAAAACTCGCCTGATTGCCCCCCTCAACAGCCTCAGAAAAGGCTGTCATCAAACTCACAGCCATCATCAAGCGACCCATTAAATCCATCTTGTCATGAACAACTATCTGTGAAAACAGCCCAGGGCCGTTCTCGATTTTTGTGAAAGTCTTCCAACAACTGGCCCAATCCTCCTTACACGCCTCATTGTCGGAGCACGGGGGAAGATGGGCAAACTCGGGTGGGTTTTGCGTGAGTGCCTCGGACGCCTTGGTAAGATTATAGTATCCCGACAAAAGCCGTATTCGCTGGTCCCGTGTAAGACCCGGATCGGAATCCCAGCGAGCCCTGCCTTGAAAAAGCATACCATAGTACGCCAGGCCCTCGAGATCCCGGATACCAAGACGCCCCAGCACGTTGATGGCTACAGCAAGGTCTTCCCTTTTTCCGATAAGACTTTTCCACCGCAGACGAACGGCGTCTAGCAAGGATTTATCCTCACACAGAACAGCCACTTCCGTAATCTGAACAAGAGTGGGGGTTTCTATTGAGGAGGCAGATTTGCTTGAGAAATGGGCAAGAAGAATGCCAAGCGCCCAAGTTTCTGTCGTAATGTACTGATATTTGTGGGCCATTCGTGCGATGTTCGATAGTCGTATTACATCGCTTTCAGCGGTGGCCATGGCTATTTCTTGCGGTCTAAATATCCCACTCAGTGTCTAGATCGTTTCGAGAAGAACAGAAACTCACAGAGCGTACAACGACCACAGCAAATCCCGAAACTCCTCCGCCGCGTCTCCTTGCAGATGAATCGGATTCTCATCCGTCGTTCCTTCCCTCTCCATATCCGCACTACCACTCCTCGGCGTATGATTGTCCAACTCGAACATACCCTCAAACGTCGACCCATCTCGGGCAAATATCGATTTGTGTACCTGACATCGATTCGAATTCAATGTTCCACGAAGAATGGTTCAGGACATTTCACACCCTGAAGAGTGTGCTCGCAACCAAGATCGTAACGTTTCCGTCCTCGAAATAATATGCTCCGTCCTTCACGTATCCTGCAGCCATATCTAGGACGTTTAGACGTATTGACCACCGTCCCTAGTGGTAAGTAGCATAAGATAACTGGTTAAATGGTCACAATCACGCAAGGGCTAAGTCAGCTTTTGTCGGAGAACACAACGAATAGAACACTCACCTCAGCTGCCGAGGTCTGTGCTTGAGTTTGAATTCCTAATTGGCGCCTATGGGGAACGAGATAAATGGATTTAAACTCCGCCGACGCCGACTTACTTACTGCACATTCCATCAACGATATTATTTGGGGGTGAATGAACTACTTACATTACTATCAGGATCGATGTTACCTGTAGGAAGGGGAAAAAAAAGATATGAACAACCATAGGTGCTACCAGGGATCGAACCTGGGTTCGAGGAATTCTAATATGTAATCAAAATCCTCAGTGATAACCACTACACTATAGCACCATGTGCTTTGTTGCTCAGCATATTACTTTGTTACCACAACAACGTTGATGTTCCTCCAATGTCAACGTCGGATTGCGTCCGCGCGCCAATCGCCATGTTTTCGTAATTATGTATCTTGTATTCAAACATACTTATGCACCAGGACACGATACTTAGACGGACAGCAATTTTCGCCTGAAAATCTGACCTTCCGATTAATGACTTGTCGCCGTCCTGGAAGGAGAGCAGTTGGACAGCAAAGGCAGACCAAGTCGAACCCATCACCCATAAGGTAGATGTCATCCATAATCGAACAACGTCACATGACGCACCAAATATGGAAGGTTTCTGCAATTCTCGCATTTGGAAGACATTTTTACAAAATCTGGTTCCGACAAATTGTAGCCGTGGCTTCTCCGACCATGAATATGTACTTTTTCTATCCATTTGGGGCCGTGTTCCTGGGTTATTTTGTGACCTTTGCGAGCCATCAAAAATTCTGATGCCAAACTTGTAGGCGGAATAAGTCCAGAACATCTCCCTCTATGGCTCTGAATTTTTCTAGAGCACTCCCTAGGATGCATATAAACAATTTGTGGGAGCCAGAATTTTTATTTTCGAGCCAGAGCTCGATCTATTCTTCATTCTTCGCTCTACCTTCCATATTTGGTGCGTCATGTGACGTTGTTCGATTATGGATGACATCTACCTTAATTATTGCTGTTTGCAATAAAGATGGCGACGCGACCTTTTTGGGCCGAAATCAAAAATTTGAGAACCCCTTACGGCGTGCCCTATAAGTATCTCAATTTTGGTCCTACAAACACAATTGTAAGTGAATTGGAAAGGTACGATGTAGGGCTACCAGACTATGTAAAAATGTAGAGAAATAATGAAGATTTTTGAAAGAGGAAATTTGAGCCTGTGTACCCTGTTTGAGTATGAAGCACAAGTTCGTCAATTCAAATCGTATAAGCTTCATTGTAGGTGGTTTGGAAAGGTGTAATGTAGGGCTACCAGAATATGAAAGAAATTTGAATAATTTCCATGGATATTTGCCTCAGGGAGTGATGATCCCAGGAACCCTGGTTCCCTCAATTTTCGCCACATAGAATGTCAGGAATGGTTACCAAGGACTATTAGTTTCATTCCTTACATTATAAAGTCTATTCTAGATATATATGGAGGTACCATGAGATGTTGGAGGGTGTGGAGAGCCTCTGAATACTGCCAGCTGGCATAACCCCCCTGCTAACTTTGACCTATGTCCTTCTTCAAAGGTTCTGGTGTATTCTATGGTTTACAGACACTCCCTAAAACTATATCTCAGCCATAGTAGCCTTCCTTGCCATGCTATGTGCTGTAAGGTAGGGAAAACAGGGTGAACAGGGTGCCTGGGCTCATCACTCCCTTGGGGCAAAGATCCATGGAAATTATTCAAATTTCTTTCATATTCTGGTAGCCCCTACATTACACCTTTCCAAACCACCTACAATGAAGCTTATACGATTTGAATTGACGAACTTGTGCTTCATACTCAAACAGGGTACACAGGCTCAAATTTCCTCTTTCAAAAATCTTCATTATTTCTCTACATTTTTACATAGTCTGGTAGCCCTACATTGTATCTTTCCAATTCACTCACAATTATGTTTGTAGGACCAAAATTGAGATACTTATGGGGCGCGCAGTAAGGGGTTCTCAAATTTTTGATTTCGGCCCAAAAAGGTCGCGTCGCCATCTTTATTGCAAACAGCAATAAGTATTACGTATCGCCCCCAGCATGTCTGAGCCGCCACCCTCAAAGGGTAATTCACTGACGCCTGTTGGTTCTTTTGATCCTCATTTTCGGGATCCTTATGGATTTTACCCCCGCTGGAGGAGGTGGGAAATACAGAGCGCCATCCAATGGTCAGTCAGTAGAAAACCCTTCATCAATGGTCAATCATGACCGAGAGTCCATTGATTTTCGTATACCTATCGGCGGCCGGTAGACTCAAGGTAGACTGAACGAAAGCTTGCACTGCAAAAAATAAATATCGCCAACCGGGTATCTGGAACTTGTAAGAAAATATATATACTAAACACTACTTAAATGAGGCTAGAGCTCTATGCATGGGATTCTGTTTTCACAGTTTCTTCGACTTTATACGCTAGAATGCCAGCCAAGGTGTTCATCTCCCTTTCACCGCTTTCGTCACTAGCTCTTTTCGACTCATTTTTATCTACCTTTGACCATCCGTGAGCACCGACAAAACTTTCCCGGGAAATTCCAAGTTTGTTGTTGATTAAGAGCACGAGATGCTTTGCATCGAGCTTTCCATTAAGCCTGTAACCAGCGCCATGAACGGTCCTCAAATTATTTCTGAAACCCAGTCTGTAGAAGCAATCCAGGTCAGAATGTTAAGTATCGATAAAATATTTCTATTAAGGTACGTTACCTGCTGTTCTCGATCGCTTGGCTTCCACTTTTCAGTGTCCGGAGCTGTTTGAGGTCTGTTCCAACATATTCCATCACCAAGGCATATACAGATGTATCCTGATCGACCCCTTTATCCGTGCGCCGTTTGACTACGCACTTGAAAAGGCCGTATGGCCGAGGGGCAACTAGTGAGGAAGATAAAGACTTGTAGACTGTGAATGCACGGTTGATATTGTCGAAGTGAACGTCCTGGCCAAACTTGATAACCAGATCCTTTGCATATGTATCAGTTGAGGTTCCATTGGCGCTCCCCTTCGTGAGGTTAAACAACCAAACCCCTGGGTTGATCTCGACTTTTGGACTTAGATGGAGGACCGGAGACATCGTCGGTGGATTTGAACGCTCTCCCCCAGGCATCTGCATACGTCGAAACTTAGCAAATTGCTCTCCAGCAGGGACCTCACTGATTGGAATAGTGATTTTGAGGAGATCATTCTGATGAAGCCCGCGCTCAAAATCCTGGAGTAAGCCTATCAACCTGATGGTCATTGACGTATCGACACGAGCACATACCTCAGTGATTTTTTGGGGGGTTTCTGGGGCTATCGTGGGGGCTGGAGCCTTTATCGCGTACTTGATACCGTCTCGATCATATGACAGAGCATACAGTGGCATATCCTGGTCGTTCCGAGCCGGCTGGGTTGCCCAAGCATGAAGTTTGTTTACCCGCTCCAAAACATCCTTGTAACATGCCTGGAAGAGGGCCGAGTGTAGGATATGGTATGTTTGGCAGGAAAGCTTGTCCTTCATAGTACTCTGGGCCGAGTCTCGGAGGTCTGGAATGTAAATCAGTTCGGACAGATACAAAGTTTGCGTCTCTCGATGGCGGATTCCAATGAATTCGTGATTGCCTGAGTGAAAAATAATAAATGAAGCATCGTTGGCCACTGCTTCAGCCCATCCCTGTTGCATGAGTCAGATAACAATATGCAGACCAAAGATACAGAATCGCCACCTGTTGTGTAATATAGATGGCTTTGGTTCTGGAGCCCTTGAACTCTTTCTGCTTGTTTTCTTTGGCTTTGGGGTGCATCACGATGACGCCATTCCTCTTAACAACTGGGCCAGGCCTATATCTCAATCGAAGATCTCCAAGCCTAGGCGTCCTTGAGCTGCCCTCCAGAAATTTAGCCTGAGAAGTGGGTCGATGGAGCTGGTTCTTTTTCTTCTCATTTCCATCGTATTTGGGTTTTTTAAAGACAGGCGCCTGGTCCACTGGCATCCAGTACTGGGAGGTTGTTTCTGCGTCCGGTCCTGTCTTTCTACCACTTATCGTTACTCTGCCATTAGTGAAGTGTTGATTGTCGCCCGAGCAAGTAGGTCCCGGCTCCTGTACAGTTAACCCATGTATTTGGGATCCACAGGTTACCCAGGGGAATTCAGCCTCGAAAGCCAGTTTGCCGATTTCTCTCATCACCTCTTCACAACCCGCGACAAGGCTCTTCATTTCCCAGACAGCAATATTCTGGAGATGGTATTTTGTTATCAGTTTAATATCCGCCGGAGTTTCCAGGTTGGTACCGGGCTGCATTTCCCCGCAAGACAGGAAACCATCAGCTTTCGCGTGGCCCTGCTTGTATTCAGATTTTCTTCGCCACTCTAGAACAGCGGAATCCCAGCCTAGCCTGAATAAAAGCGCTGATGCAATGCGGGCACATGGCACGCCAGTCGTGTAATAATAATTATCGACGATTTGAGATTCATTCCGAGGGTTCTTGTTGAAGCTCCGAATATCATACGCGAAATAATCCGGTAACTGTTTGCCACCTGCAGCTCTATAACTGTGCAGTTGTGATGGGACGTCATTGCGGAAGCTGTCCTCCAACCTCCGCGCAAGGTCTTTCACGAGAACCACCTTCTTGAGTCGCAACGAAGGATGCAGGTGAATATCAAAGAAGGCAGGCCTCCTAGTCCCGGTTGACGCGTTACTATCAATCAAATCAGGCGGTGAAAGCGTTGGTGGTCCCCACGCCATGAAATTCTTCAAGGCGGCATCCTGTCCAAAGATATCTGTCGCGCTGGAAGAATTATCTGCAAGAAATCGGTTGCGTAAGCTTGAGGATAAACTCGAAGATAAACGCCTCGGCCAAACCTAGGCTTGTCTCTAAGGACCTCGACTGAGATCGGTTGCGTTTCATCGCGAAAGTGTTCAAGAAGATGCGTTATCGACTTTGAAGAATAACTGGGGGTAGATGGTGCTGGATCACCTCAGACTCTCAAGCTGGCGATATTTAACTTTGCTGAAACAAAAGGCAAAGATATCCGGGCATCGTGGTATTATAATAAAAGCGTTGACAGGGAAAAGGTCACTAGGGCGACCTACAATTATATGTGAACAATGTGGAGACAACCCTTGTGTAGAGAACAAGCCGTCGCCACGACAATTGTTATGCGGATTGGAAGATGGCAAGGCGTTAATTATAAGTATAAAGAGTGCTGTTATAGAATTTGATCCGAAAACAATAACGTTTACCAAAAATGTCACGTAGACGGCGTGATCGAGGTCACACTTGCGGCACGTTCGAAGATCAACTCCAGC